GTTAGAACGTTCATATATATATATATATATATATATATATATATATATATATATATATATATATATATATATATATATATATATATATATATCGTCCACCAAAGAAAATGTATACACATTTCAAAAAAGAAAAGAAACTAGTAGAGATATTGTAATATTTATTTAGACATCGCGAGATTAATATAAGTGTTTGTTTATGCTCAGGAGTTGAAATCTTTATTTTTTTTATATGCATTTCACCCCAAGCAAGGCAATAATGCCACTAAGATGACAAGAATGACTGGAAATGAAAGAGAATGATAAAACATTATTGGAAGGAACCGGAAAACCAATCCTAGACAGGAAATAGAGGCTAAACCTCTACTCCTGTTCAAAAGACGATGGAAGAAACGTGGCCGGTCGATTGATGAACTTATCTACTCATATTGAATATATATATATATATATATATATATATATATATATATATATATATATATATATCATATATATAAGACACCGACGGTGTTGAAACAAAATGGCTTTTTTTGTAGTGATTTTATAACATATTTATGTTATCAATTTTTTTTAAATAAAAATATATTATATATACACCACTTTAAGATTCCATGTATTTCACCACAGCCCTTTTAAAGGACTGCGGATCATCAGACTTTACTTCCAAAGGTTGAAACCTTTGGAAGTAAATAATTTATTACATGGAACCTTAAACTGGTCTGTTTTATTTAAATTATTTGCTCTGGATTTACATTGAGCACTCTGGATTTTATCCTCCTTAGGTTTACCCATACGGATTACCTAGTTTTTCATAAACTATATATATATATATATATATATATATATATATATATATATATATATATATATATATATATATATGAAGAGCAGTATATAATGGATGACAGAACAGGGTCTGGGAGAAGTAACAAAGGGATAAAACTTGTTGAGAGCTACAAGGGATAAGGGGAAGTGAAGAGCCATGATCGCCTACGTCTTGAAGGGACATGGCACATAAAAAGAAAAAGATTTTTTCGTTTGCATCTTTCCTTTTGTGTTGTGCCAGGCAAAAATAAGTCTAATAAATATAGAGAAGTGGGCCAAATTTCACAGCTCAAACCAAATCAATATTTTGAAGATTGTAAAAACGTAAAAAAAAAAAACGAAGGAATCAGTCGACTTGAAATTCTAAATGATGGACAATATGGTCGAACAGAACTGAGAAGGATTCATCAAAAACGTCACCGCCATCTTTTGTACCGTCCATCTTTCTATCAGTTTCTCGGTCCGCATCTTTTTTTCTCCCGCCTTCTAAACTCGACACACGCCTTTTTACAATCTTCCATTTTGACTTCTTTTTTTTTTCGTGTTTTTCCTTAGTTTGCCTGTTTATTCAAAATCTCCGTTAAACGCGTTATTCACTTTTCCGTCTTTTATTATTTATTTCTTTTTTTCCGGATGCTTTTCTTTGAAATGTAATTTGCTTTTGTTGTGTTTGTTTATTTCTTTCCTGAAGTTCGTTTTTTTCTTTTTATAGTCAATTTCGTTTTTTGATTCCGATTTTTTTAAACTCCTTTTTTGTTTCTCCGTTTTAATTGACCAATCCACGTCTGTTATTTTCGTTACAACTTTTTCAATATTCTTTTTTCCCAGCAAATTTCGTCTTTCTTTCTTTCTTTCTTTCTTTCTTTCTTTCTTTCTTTCTTTCTTTCTTTCTTTCTTTTGTTCTTTCTTTCTTTCTTTTATTTGTTTCTTTTTGTTTTTCTTTCTTTCGTTCATTCTATATTTTATTTCTTTGTATTTTTCTTATTTTCTTACTTTTTCTGTTTTTCTTTCTTTCCTTGTTTCTTTTCTTTCATTGTTTTTTCTATGTTCGTCCTTTTCTCTTTCTTTCTTTCTTTCTTTCTTTCTATATTTTCTTTCTCTTCTCTATTTCTTCCTTTTGTAATTCTTGCTTTCTTTCTTTTGATTTTTTCTTTCCATTTTTTCTTTTCTTTCTTTCTTTCTTCCTTTTTGTTTTTCTTTATTTCTTTCTTTGGTTTTTCATTTTCTTCATTTTTTATTTCTTTCTTTCATTTTTCCTTTTATTTTTTTTTGTCTTATTATTTTTTTCTTCTGTTTTTTTCAGAATTTTTCCTTTCTTTTATTTCTTTCATTTTTTATATCTTCCCTTATTTTTTATTTGATTTTTTCTCTGTTCGTATTTTTTCTCTTTATTCTTTCTTTTTCGTTTTCTTTTTCCTTTTTGTCTTTCTTTCTTTCTTTCTTTCTTTCTTTCTTTCTTTCTTTCTTTCTTTCTTTCTTTCTTTCTTTCTTTGTTCGTCCTTTTCTCTCTCCTTCTTTCTTTCTATATTTTATTCCCTTTTTTCTCTTGGTCTTTCTTTCTTTTTTTCTTTCTTTCTTTATTTTTTCTATGTTCGTCCTTTTCTCTTTCCTTCTTTCTTTCTATATTTTCTTTTTTCCCTTTTGTCTTCTTTCTTTCTTTCTATGTTCGTCCTTTTCTCTTTCCTTCTTTCTTTCTATATTTTCTTTTTTCCCTTTTTCTTTTGGTCTTTCTTTTTTTCTTTCTTTCCCGCCTATTTATTTCAATGACTTTCTTTTCATTGTCATATTATTCTTGCCATATTATTCAACTTTTCTGCTATTTAAAATAAGCAATTCTAATGTTCCTCAACGAAAATGAAATCTTGTTAAACGGTTTCACTTTACAACATTGAATCGACGACATTTGATCACAATTAGAATTTCTTTTTTTCAATTCCTTCCAGATTAATGTCCAAATTTGCATAACTGTTCGAATTAACCAGCAATTAATTGTACAAATTGATTATTCCTTTTCTAACCTCGGCTCTTTTTAATACACTCTCCAGTTGCCGTGAAGATTGACGCGGAGGAATTTTCTTTTTATTTCTTTCTGCTACATCGACAGAATATTCCAAAAATTCTGAATGCCTATTTTAAGACACGGCATTTTCTTTTCGCTTAAAGTTACCATTAATTTAAATATGTAATTTATACGCTTAAAAAAGCTTCAAATAATTTAATTCTTGAAATATATTTAGCAAGGAATTTTGAGATTCTAAAGGAGAAAATTTTTTTTTTTCGACGCCGGAATAAGTGACATTGTTCAAAAATATAATTTTTTTAATGTATATATTGTGGTAACACCATCTTGGTGTGACACTCAGAAAAAATTAGTGACAAAATGAAACACAATTGAAGTGTTTGATTTCCGAACTGATATTTGCTTATCAATTCACAAGTTAATCTAACAAATGATAACAGAAAAATAACTGTGTTTTTACAATGAGTTTCACCATGTACAAGGCCTAAGAGTCACTCGAGGTAGAGGTTTATAAAGTTTAGAGGCATATGCGAATATGTGAAAGATAACGGTTAACTCTAGATATTGGCAGGTTAAGATTGTCGTGATTGGAGAAGCATCATCTTGGATGTTGTTTCGACAAAGCAACGGTTCTTGGGAAGAAGCTCTTAGAGTGGAATTTACATCTCATCATTGGAATACAAAAGGAATGGAGGAGATTTGCCAAAATGTGAGTGTGATGGCATGTCTTAACCGTGAAGGTTAGAACTGGTGGAACTAATGAATGCTTACGATGTTTAGTCTGCGGGGAAACGAGTTGTATGGTGGAATATAATCCATCATCCACAAGGATACGGAGATGCTTTTGGACTCTGTAGAGATTGTTAAGGGAAGACTGTCCAACGCCATCCCATATATGGCAACAATGCTTCATTTTCGGCTAATCTGGTTCTTGTAAATATAGAAGATAGGAGGAGGAGGAGTCAGGTACTTACTGAAGCGGTACAAGGAAGCGAACATTTTTTCCGACGACGGATTATATGTACGAGTTCCACTTGAGGTCTGTGTTGACTAAGTCCCAATCGGCGCTCACGGCACGCCCCCCCTGGTTTCCGATCGGTGATGATAGAATGTAGCTAATTTGGTTCTCGAGACATTGAATGTACCCCACCACAGATCAGAGGGGATATCAGCTGCCAATCTCTTGGTTGTCTTGGAGATGAACGTATAGATCGTTGTATCATCGGCATAGGTATTCCCAAATGATCGGCGTATAGGCTTAGGCATATCATTTATGTGAAGAAAATAGGACGTTGGACCGAGAACCGACCCCTGGGAGACGGTGGCGTTGATTGCTAGGGTCTGGGAGGACTGGTTGTTAACAAATACCTCCAGGGTCCTTTCCGCTAGGAAGCACTTTAAAGAATATGTGTATTCTAAAGAAATATGCGTACGTATAGGATGTCCCAGCACGATAGCTGTACTAGCACGAAGTCAAATGTCATCGTGACTGAGGGTTTGAGCGTGCTGGCATTGTTCAGATTGATGATCACGCGAGATAACACGCTCTTTCCCAGAAACCGTAACTAAGGTCTGCTCAGCATAGTTGCAGTATAAACCAAAGGTAGGCTCTGTGGGTGTTGATCACAAATGTGCCGGATCAAGCATCTGCAATAGGGATTAGATAGCCGCCCTAGTAAACAGGTATCCTCGAATACGAGTGGTCAGCTATTATTATTATATGTGCCAAAGGAATTGTCTCTTTTATAGAATATGCAAACCCGATTCATAAAATACGACCCAAAGAACTATTTGAACTGCCAGCTAAGCCTGATTTATTTGAAAAGGCTAGTAGAATGATCCAGAAGTGTATCTTTTTTAGAATATACAAACACGTATGATAAAGTACAGCCCAAAGAACTATTTGAACTGCCAGCTAAGCTTGATTTATTTGAAAATGATCCAGAACTTTTTTGGGAAGTGAAACATCTGCAGACGGATAGGAAATAAATTCAGTAAATACACAAAAATGGAAACGGTCTTATGACAAGGATGTGTCTTCTCCCCGGACTTATTCAACCTTTACGTTGGGCTAATTCTAAGAGTCGCTGTGATTTGTAGCGGTTTTTTTTTGTCTGTTCGTATGCCTCCTCGCTGTTCTCTTCCTATGGGACCATTAATTCTACTAAGAGGACACAATTCTTTGGATCAGACCACGCTACAAATGGCAGGGGCTGCGTCTGCATGAATGATGTTTAACGAAAATTGCTGAGGTTTTTCCTAACATCAATTAACATCATGCAATGACGAGCTTCACTCAGTAGTGTCATGTTGGGAGTTATTTGGGTTTTTCAAACAGGGCGTTCATCTTGTAAAAATGGGTCTTAGGTTTTCTAGCCGTTATAGGCTGTTTGTTGGCTGTTTTGCACTGTGTACTAAGTCCATGACCACTTCCAGCACTTTGTTAGGACGTCACGTGTACATTTGCAGTGATTGTACATAAGGTAGAGAGGAACCCGAAGGGCAAAGTTTCGTTCGGGGAGGTAGACAGGCCCCGAACCCGTTTATGCGGGTTCCAAGGGAATATTTTGGACGAGCCTACGGGCTCGGAGTACCCACTGTAAACTCGGCCTTGGTCCACATGCATCCCTCCTGTGTTTGGGGTGGCCTGTTAAATATAACAAGTCCTAAAGTATCTTGTGGATGGCAGAAAATAAGCAAAATTGGCGGCCCTTCGACAAGAAATTGAAAATCCATATGCAGCAATCCTACTCGAAACTTTAGCCAACCTCGTCCAAGCAGTAGTTCGCCGTATTAATGTCTGGACACCATTTTGAGCATATATTGTGATTTTAGAGATAAACTAGTATTCATTTAGTTATGTGCTATGCGTCATACACTCTTAGGTGATCTTTCGATACATGACTGACGAGGCAGATTTTTCCCGCTGCCATTATTTTTCCAAAGTCTCTCCTACTATTTACCCATACCTGGGGGCCGAAGAAAAGGATTCATACATTTCCCAATGGTATTAGCACTTAAGTGAATGCAATGGATACGACTGGAATTCGAACTCGACTCTCCGATTCCTCAATCCGAGCCACTATCCATTACTCCAACGCTCCTCCTCTCTTGTATTTGTATTACAATATCTATAAAAGTTCTTTTCCTTTTTGAAGTATGTACACATTATTCGTGAACACTGTATATATATATATATATATATATAGATAGATAGATAGATAGATAGATAGATAGATAGATATAGATATAGCGTAATAAAGAGTTGACTAAAATGTTTCCCTCAATTTTTTCATATATATATATATATATATATATATATATATATGATAGTTGCATATTTAGGCAGCAATCCTTCGTTTATGCATGTTTCATTAAAAACGATAGACAAAGGTACTACGGTTAAGCTTTTTATTCTAACAAGTGCTTTCTTTTCTGGACAAAGAGTGCATAAAAGCTGTCCAAATTATTATTATTAAATGAATATATATATATATATATATATATATATATATATATATATATATATATATATGAAGAAAGGCAAACATTTTTTAGTCAAATCTTTAACACTCTCTATTTCCTTATGCAATTTCTTCTCTCTTGCTCTCCCTCCGCCTTGCTCTCCCTCCGCCTTTCTCTCCCTCCGCCTTTCTCTCCCTCCCTTTCACTACTTTCTTTAGAATATGTTTCTTTTTATCCGAATATTCTATACGCGAAAAGGCCAATATATATCTTTTTTTTTCAGACGTCATTAATCTCCTCCGAAAACATACTGTCTCAAAGACACTACCAAAATACTTCTAATAGAAGCCGATTCTTTCTCCTTGCAGGCACTCCCAATTACATACAGGACGGTCACGAATCGTCACCGTTTCTCTGTGGGTAGCCGTAGCTAAAATAACTCGCCAATCCGAATTGTATCGATCTGAGATTTTTTTCCTTAGTAATAAATATAGACATTATATAATATATATACTTACTCCTTACTTTTGTATAGGAGAGTGTGACACAAAATCCGATAAATGGATTGTGCTAAAAGCTGATCTTTTGTCTATTCCTTTCGAGATTCGGGCAAACTGGTTTGTTCCGTCCACCAAAAGAAAACATCAGTAGGAATCATTCTATCTTAGTCACCATGATACAGTATTCGCTCAATAGGATTTAAACGACCTTCTACATGACATTTGTACAACTCCTAACGTATATCCATAGGTTAGCAGCCAGAGGCTAAATCCAAACAGTGAGCGAACACAGCAAATGGCCATTTCTGTTTAGAAACTTTTATTTAGGAAGAAAAAAACAAAAAAAAATGCACGTTTTATAATCTTCTCAAACATCCACATCCAACAGATTAGAGGCATGGATATTTCGAGCAAAGGGATAACGAAATATTTGATGGACAAAGCTGTTAATTAATAAAATAATCCGTATCAATGTCACCTTTGGTGGAAAACTAGATCAGAACGGCGAGATCCGAGCTCATTATTTACATATCTCGAAGGCATTCATCATACTGTCCTCCAATACTTCAAAGGCTCTGATATTTCTAGCAGGATATTTGACCGAGTAATCAGGTGGAAAGACTACTGAATCCATTACTAGGTAAGCTGACAAGAAGGTTAGTTCACTGTGTCGTGCAAGACAATTTTTCTCTCCAGAATCTATCTTACATATCTATAAATCTACCATTCGTCCATACTTAGAGTATAGCTGCCACTAATGAGCCGGTGCCCCTGCTATTTACCTTGAGCTCATTAATAAAATCCAACGAATAATCAGCAGCTCGGATTCAATCACTTTTCCACAAAATAAAATCGTTTTGTGTCAGCCCCACTGTCTTCTCAACTGAGCAATGGTGTGAGAAAAAGATCATTCAGGCCTTCAGTAATGATAGAAAAATTCATGCTCTTCCATCTTCAAAGTCCATTCAAGAAACCTCAAAAGAACGGTGAATAAGTTTAAAAAAAGAGGGAACAGTAGCGATAAAAACTGGATCAGGAGGTCACAACAGGAAGAGGGATTATCATTTTAACTTAGAACTAAAGTGATGGATTAGAAAAGATTCAACTTAATCCATAAGCTCTTTGGCATGTGAAAGAGGAGTTTCAGCTATGATCAGTGGAAAAATAAATGAAATCGTACGAAAAACTTGTGAGGCATTTTGTTAGTCCAGGACAGAAAGATAGAAGGTTAGTGAGGGCGAAGCTCATCCTAAATAAGTTTGAAAATTAACCTGAAATAATATATATATATATATATATATATATATATATATATATATATATATATATATATGAACTTTATTTCAATCATTCATGAGGTGTTCCGATCCTTAACTATGATTAATTAAAGATGAACATGACATTTTTGTTAATGATCGATTTCATCACGTTTCTTCTAAGTTTGGAGAGTAATTATCGCTCAAAGTAGTGTCCAATAGTGTTTTAAAAACCTACGATAATTCCAGTAATATATCTTTAATCATTTCTAAGATACAACGTTTCAAAGCTTAATCTAACAATTGTACAATTTTGCTGTTACATGATTTGAATGATTTTGCTTTTACACCCCGTATATTGGGATGTGCGGTGTTGTGCAATGGGAAAAGGGCTCGAGATTAGAAATTCAAATAAAGTTTGTTATATTCACTTAAGCGCAAATATCCTTGGGAAAGGCATGAACCCATCTCTCCTCCCCAGATATGCATTGAATAATAGGACAGACAGGGTCCTATTGTAACTATTCTGGGTTCTAATGCAATCAGTCTATCGTAGACAGAAACGCCCCCCAAAAAAAAAACTTCTGCCAAATCAGTCATGAATCGAGGGAGATATAATCAGCCCAAATGTATATCACGTATGACACTAAATTGAAATAAATTCCGTATATAATAAGGAATAATGCAACTTTTCTACGTGTTTCCATCGCTGTCTCTCACTTCTGTCACACGAAGCCGAACGGCCTTTACAAAGCGTTTACACGGACCTGTAGGTGATGAATTATTTTCAAACCTTTTCCCGGAGACGAAACGTTGAAAGCCTCCCACTACTCTATGAATGCTTCCATGGTAGATGTTCACACGAGCTATATTCGTTAGTTCAACCAATTACTGCAGCTAGGACCCGCCATGCCACATACAAATTACCGACGCATCCTCATTTCCCCCATATTCCACTGGTAAGAAAGGATACATTTTTTTTCGAGAACTGGTATTTTAGGGAACAGACTCCCGTTATGATGTTTCCGCAACCACGAGCCAATCGATCTATAACCTACATATCCTCATATGTGAACCAGATTCAAGAAATCGTGAAAATTTTGTTCCCAAATGTATCGAAGAGCTGACTGATTTGGGCAACGGATCATTTCAAATAATTGTCAATATATTATTGAATGAAATGTAATTGTATTTTATCTTTTGGATAATAACCTTGATAAACAAAAGCGGAAAATATTTATGACTTATCAAAATATCAACACGTTGCGAATGGTTTTATTAGAGAAATACATTGCAAGTTATAATACGACTATATAAATTCATTTTCAGTGTTTTTCTTATAGAAATGCATTGTAAATCAGGAAAATGGATTATCAGAGGTCAGGAGTAAATGTAAGGAGCGTTATTGTAGAGAAAATGGTTGTTTTGTTTAATAGAGATAATAGGAGTGAACGGTAATGATGATAATGATGATGATGGTGGGGTGGCGATGATGATGATGATGGTGGGATGATGATGATGATGATGATGATAGGGTTTAGTTTGGTTTGTTTTGTCCTGTTTTGCGGAATATCAATCTGTTGTACAATAGGGAAGGTTACTGAATAGAATACTCGAACGAAGGTTGGTAATGAACGACAACACATATAAGATTCGCCAACGGAGGCACCTTGAGGCAGTGTAATAGTTAGCAAATTTGAATCGCTGGGACAATCACGACTGAGTAGTGAGTTCGATCATCACTGGGTGCCCCCTACTTTCGGCCTTGTGCCACATCTAAGCTACGCTTGGAAAATCACAATTCTTTGTGAATCTCGAGGCGGTGTAAAAGTTAACAAGCTTTTTTGGTTGCTCTACTTACCACATCGACCCCTATCTTTCACTCTTTTGTAACATGTATGCCCAGCAAAAATTCCCCGTAGACCCCGTATAAAACG